AGTCACAAGGAAGATGAAATTAATGCTGAGCTTGATTAAGCCCTCAAAGCGATTGACAGAAAAGTTGAGATTTTTCCTATCCCTGGAGAAATTAAAATCTCATCTGTAAAAAGGACCTGATTGTCCTTATCTAACTTTAAAGTCGGCCCATCTTTGAACGTTCTCCCATACTCCTTCCCAACTTAAATTACTTCAATTCAATAATTTTGTTATAAATGCAATGTGTTCCTGCAGAAACCTTTTCCTTTGTTAAACATGTTTGCCAAAGCTATAAACATCTTTAATTTACATTCTAAAACTATCCTTTGGTGATATAGATGGCATAATGTGTGCAGTCCCAGAGTTAGAGGGGAAGGAAATAAATGGGTGAACTAGTATACAAAAGGAAATTCACTGTCATTATGCTATGAATTTCTGGAAGTGCATATACGTTCTTAATGTAAGTGTGATGTATCATCTGACGAAGGCATTGCATTGAAAATAGATTTCCTGAGCTTAGGCTGCATTTGTTCAATTCTTTCAGCTTACTGTGTTGATAGACAATAAACTGTAGCTCCATGGTGAAAGTTGGTAAACTTACTATAGAAATACTTTTTTTTTTATTCTAACAAAGATATTTTTGTAAACAACATTTAGAGTGCATTTCTCTTGATGGAAGTACTCTTTAGATATATCAGATAAATTCCATTAACTACTATTTTGACATAAAATTGAAATTACTTTCAGTGAACTTAATTTATAATGCTTTTTACTTCAGTCCTTAATCACACACTTGCAGTGCTTAATTTCTTGTTCTTACAAAATCTCCTGCATTTCTTAACTCTGTTGTCTTAGTTGGTGTACTTCAGTCTTTCTCAAGGAAGATGCTTTTCCAATATTAGGCAGGATCTCAGGACATTTCAATTTCACTTTAATTAACCTTGTTGTTCCATTGCTTACCATTTGCATCCTCCTCATCAGCTGTGTTGGACTTAAATATTGTTGGTTTGTTGGTTTTTTGAGTTGTTGTTGGTTTTGGGTTTTTTTTTTTTTTTTTTTAAGTCTTTTCTATAGTCTTTCTCTGTGTTTTATTTTTATTTTTTATTTAATTCATATTCAGACAAACCCAGAATTAAAATATTCTTCCTGGACCTTCACTTGGGATTATTCCGTATGTTATGTTCTGCCATATGTTTCCTAGTTTGCTCGTTAATATAAATATCACTTCTCTATCCTCCCTCTGTTCCATTTCTGCACCTTTGCTGATGGAAGCTTGCAAAAAACCACTTGTCGTCAACCAGATGAGATAAAACACGTGTGAGCCTAAGGGACTGTGAAATAAAGACTAAACATATTGTAAAGAAAAGTAGGAACGCTGCAACTTTAGAAATCATGACCTCAAGTTTTTATACACACCTTTCAGAACCACCAATAAGTGATTTTGGGTTGAACACCCCATGAGTTTCAAATTAGGCTTTTAAGACTGTTACTAATGGATCACTATGGATTTCACAGTGCTCTTCCACTCAAATATGCAAAGAAAGAGAACATGTGTTTATCTTACTTATGCACAAATCTCTTTTTAATGTATATATCTTTATTTAAATGTACTACCCTTTTTGTTTGTCAATCCAAAAAAAAGTTACCTCTAAAGCCAAAATGCAAATCTGTGATAAGGCAAATTTTGCAGCAAATTGAGCTTTTGAATATAACCGAAATACACGAAGCAATATGAAGTATGGTCAGTAAAGGAACTGTAGAGGAACTGAAGGAATCCTTTCATGGTTAATGGCAGCAGCTTATCAATATGGATGTTTGGGACTTACAGAAAATCACTGCAAAACTTGAGCATACTGTGAAAGCCCCAAGTTTTTCTATAATAGTGCTCAAGTGTAAAGCAGAAAGAATCTATGTAGCTGCCTTAAATGGTTTTTCTGCTCACTTGTTCACAGAATTTCTGAATCTTAACTGTGCAACTTGTGCTGTATATAAATTTGTCTAAAAGGCAGCAAAAAGATGACGCTTTAAATATCTTCCATTTAATTTGTTTATGAATAATAATCTCAGTTTAAATGAGTAGTTCTCAGAAAAGATCTGGTAATGGAAATACTGCCACATTCAGTCTCCCTACCCCTGCAGGTGTTAGAGAAAAGAAGCTTCAATAACTTGAAGAACACTACAAGGGCAAAACCTACAGATGTTTCCTTCTGTTGTTTGTAGAGAGGGAGTTTTGCTACAGTTCTATTGTTTCACTTGTCCCTTTTCTCTTGGGATTTTACTTTACCTTATCATCATCAGTTCTCAGAATAGCAAATTCTCTGGTAAGGCACACGTCTGAGGAGGAGGGGTCTTTCCTTGAAACTTGACAGAAGAGAGGTAGATTTTCACAGTGGAGAGTTTAATTGTAAAGATTGTCACTGACAGCAATCTATAGTAAGTGGAAGATTGAAATGGCATCTTTTTAGATACACAGTGGAGTAGGGAAGGGAAATTACTTGCAGTTTTGAAGTGTTTGCATGCTGAGCCAATGGAAAGTTTATTTTCCTTGCAAGGAATGTCTCTTTTTCTTGATGAAAATGTCGATTGGTTGGTCTGGTGAGTGTTCTCATTTATTGACTTAAAATATGGTGCTTGTTGTTTGTTGTGAAACGAGGAAGATATCTTAGTAAAATGTAGAATACAGTTTGGCCAGAAAATATGATCCTGTTGTTCCTGTTCAAAGTACTTCATCACATTGGTGAATAGTTACGTGTCAGAAGTAATATTTCATTGAGTTGTGAAAATTAAAATTCTTCAGCTATAGCATGCTGTGCTGCTGAGGACTTTGTGAAGACACAGCTCCCTTGTCACTGATGAATTCTGTAGGGGTTGAATTTGGTCATTTTCTAGGTAATCTTTTTATACTCAAAAAGGTTATGGGATGATTCAGTAACTCCTTCAGACTGATGCATCTGAATTAAAGTGCAGTAACTCAACATATGAACCTTCAGGAAATATTAATAGGAAATTTATATCCACATTTATGTATCTTGATATATTATTGAGGTGATTAAGAATTTGCTATTTATTTATACACAGTATATGAATGAAAGTGGAAATATTTTTTTCTGTCTCAAATGGCCTCACTCTCTTGAGGTGGGGAGGAAGGAGATTATATTAATATAGAGATATCATGTCTAATTGCATCAGAATTTTATGGTGTGTAGTTCTTGGTGGAAGCTTTCAAGAGGGTTAACATATGACAACTTGAGTTCTGCACAGATGTTAGTAATAGAGCTGTATCCCTTCTCTTGTGACATACACAAAAATGTATGGCTTCACTGTTGTTTCCATCAGATGGAAATCAATTAGCTTAAACTAAAATAAATAAAAGCTTGTGTCATTGCACTGCCTGTCTTCCCACTTCACCAAGTCTGGACAGCAGCAGTCAAATCTTATGTAGGGGTGGAGCTTTCAAAGGTAGAAATTATTTTTAACAAGCTCAGTCTAATCATTGACTACACCGAAAAAAAACTTTAACCTCCTCTCACTGAGTAACTGCAGTATGAGCTCAACAGTTGTCTGCACTGCTTAGATTGGCTGCTCAGGCAGCATGTGTATGTGTGCATGGTGCCAAAGGATCTTTTCCAGTGCTGTCAATTAAGGAGTGGAAGAACTGTGAGGATTACTAAAAAGGAGAGCTGGAGGTACTTCTGGGAGAATGGGAGTGAATGTCACTGGCATCACATGTTGGGGCATGGCTGTAATAAAGATGAACTGTAGTGTTCAGGGAAAAAAAAGTATGCACAGCCAAACCTTCACAAATTCTTGTGGAATTTGCCATCTCTGTCTATCAAGAGGAATTTGTTCATGTTATGGAATCTTTATGAGGAAACTGAACTAGAATGATATTTACCTTTTTACTGTAGTGTTAATGGAACACAGTACACGATTTACAACCTTGAAGAGGAAATTCTGTGCATATTCTAGAAGACTAGAACTGCTTCATGAGAGGATTATCAATTGTTTCTGTTTCCAACTGCTTTACTGTTTACCAGTTTTTCATTTAAGTATGGTTGAGAAATCAACAGAAATCCCAAAACTACCAGCTTCCTAGTGACTGTGTCTTCTCACAAAGCATCACTAAATGTCTGATTTCATAGGATCATAGAATGGCTTGGGTTGAAGAGGGCCACAGTGATCATCTAGTTTCAGCTCCCCTGCTATGTGCAGGGTTGTCACCCACCAGACCAGGCTGCCCAGAGCCACATCCAGCCTGGCCTTGAATGTTAGTTTGCTACTTCTGAGAACAGAGTACTGGCCTAGGTAACCAGTCTAACACTTCTTCTTCATTCCTTTCCCTCCCAATTTAAGCTATCGTTTATTCTAGGACAGTAAGTTTTACAATTACACAGATAATGAGCAGAGAGGAGAGTTTATTCACTTAGATGCCATGTGTGTGGATATTCTTTTGATTATGCTGTTACAATCAGCCAAGCTGCTCTGTGAAAAGCCCTGATTAACCACCCTTCCTTTCTGTGTTAGATTGTCCTGGTCTGTGTAGTCACTGCTTTAGTTACATTTTATGTTAAAATTCTGTCAGCACCTGTTCTACTTTTGCATTGTAACTAACATTTCTAAAGCAGCCTGTGCTAATTTCTCATTACCTACATGTAAAGAAATACAATCAGTGACATCTTTAGTCATCGTGATCCACATCTAAAACTTTTTAAAATGGTGTAGCGTATCCTGTTAAATAATTGCCACTGTAAACTCCAGCAGCTTAGGCTACAGTAGCAGATGTGTATTATTGGCATTTGGGTGTGTGCCAAAAGTGGAAGTGAGTAATTAGAGCTGCTCAGTGATTTTTTCTTGTTTCACAAACTCCCTAATTGCCTGATTTAGACTCTCTGCACGGGATTACGTATTTTTTAATTTACTGTCAGCACATCTTTTGGCTTTTACACAGACTTTGTTTCCTAATTAGAGTTCCTGTTTTCTTTCTGTTCGCTTACTGAGTTTTATTTATTTATTTTTAACAGGCCTTCTGAACAAGAATCACCAAAGTGAGTTGTCTTTAAAATTTCTACTGTGGAATCTTTATCTTTAAGATACCAATCAATGCATAAGTTGAATTGATTTTTCTAAGTACTTGTGTGATTGAAGGCACAAATAACTGTTGAAATCAATGAAGATGGTAAATCTTTTCTTAAAAATTAAGTTTTTGCATCAAGATGTGAGAAAACTTAAATCCTAATAAGTGTCTAAGCACTATTAACAAAGCAAAACAATGATTTTCTTAAACTGTTCCATTTCTTTTGTAAAAAATTAATGATGCAAAAATCCACTGGTGATTTTACTGCTAGAAAGGAATAACTGAAGCAATTTGTCACATTATTCCAGCGTTAATTTTTTTCTGTGGTAGAAACTCATTAAGAACTAAACTCCTAAGTTGCAAGTGAAATTTTGTTTTTAATTGACTATATTCTGAAAAATGTGTTATGATGTGTTTGCATATAAACGGTTCCTGCTTACTTAACAGTGACCTCACAGGAATCATGAAAACCTCTTTGAAGCTACCAAATAAAACTAATATTTCTTTTGTGTGTATGTGTGTGTGTGTGTGTCTGTGTGTGTCATTACAGTTCGCTAAAATATTTTAAAACTATTTAAAGAGCCAAATGAATAATATCTTTGAAGAATATTTTCCATGGTAATTGAAAATGTTGTAAATATTGACAAAAACAGGCAAAAATAAGCCTGCTAACCTATGGCATCATGTTTGTTAGTTGCAGTCAGATTTCTGCAAACCAAAAAACAAATGTCTATATTTATTAGTAGTTGTTGCATTGCTAATCCTGCGTGTAAAAAGCCTGTGTTACATTCCCTTATAGTTTTATTTCTTCATGCTGGGATTTACTTCCACTACTACCATCCTGTGAGAGTTAAATACTGCTTTTAGGAATGGTGAATGCATTGAATACGCTCTGCACACAAAAAAATAAAATAAAATAAAAAAAGCATGCATACATGCAAGAATCAAATACAATTCACTGTAATGCTGGTTGTCTGTAGCACTACAGAGCATGCTTGCAAAGAGTACTGGCCCTGATCAAGATGTTCTATGATGCAAGTGAAAGATCTCTCTACAGTGGGGTAATACAGGTGAATAGAATGGCAGCTGAAGTATTTTCCCCTGGGGTTTGTTCTCGTTCCCTCCTTTGTTGCAGTGATTTCATGTACCACTTCAGCAGTGCCTTTCACTGTTGACCTTCAAGTATTTTGCTGAAAATGTCTCTCTTGCTCTAGTTTTATTCTGCCGTTCTTCTAGGTCTCCACTGAACAAATGATAATGCGTAGATCATTCTCCAATCCCATTACTTTGCATGTCAAGAAGTGCTGTTTAACCGCGAGTATAAAAAGACTTGTTCTGGTGTCTGAGTGATACAATTGCCCATGTTACACAGTTTAATGTAAAAATCTAGATAACAATACTTTTCTAATATATATGTATATAATTTTTTGTTTTGTTTTGTTTTTAAATGAAGGAATGTATTGGGAAATAGTCCAACTCGGAATTCTCTGACCCGTACCTCACCTAAAGCATTGACTCAGTCTCCCAACGGAGTTGGTAACATTTCTGACTCTTACCCTCTGGAAGGGGTGGATAAACACTTCCTAGAAACATATGACAATGTTACAAAAACTAGCTCAACAGATGATTCCGGTCAGTACTACTGTGATAAGGTACGTTCAGTTGCATTCTTTTCAAGTCAAAAATGCTAACATATGTAGCTTTGAACTGTAGATTAAGAACTCAGAAAAACTATGGTTTTATTCTGGGGTGAGCATGTTTTACTAGGTAACAGGAATAAAGCTTCTTGTCTTACTCAGATTTCTCCAAGGCTGTGTATACAATATGATAGGTAAGCCTACTGTGTACATTCATTTCTTATAGCAACCAGGTTTCCAACAGCATCTGCAGGAAGTTCTTAATGAAATGGGAATCCTTGCATGCCTGTATCTCATTTGTTCTAGGATAAAGTCACTCTAGCTCCTGTAAGTCTTGATAGCGAGCACAAATCCCATCTGGGATGGCTAAAAATTGTGTTTTGACTTCTGTGTTGACTAGAGAGCAGCTGCTCCTTGCTAGCTTTATGACAGCAGATCGTCCCTCACCTTTTCTCTAGCCTCTTCCAGGGCTGTGCTAAACAGCTTCCTAACTTGGCTTTCCACTAGCCATAGCCAAGCTTTAATCATCCTTGCTTGGAGATTTCCTGGAGAAAATATCAGTTCACCCTTTTAGAGGAGATATGTTAAAGAAATTGTAGTTACTCCATAATCTTCAGAGCAAAAATGTTTAAATTGTGTTGTACTTTTTTTGTTTTTTTTCCTTTTAAGTCACCTTTAGCTATGGCAATACATTGAAAGTTTTAATAGGTATGCGCTGAAAAAGCTGTGATGAGAGTAAGTATGTAAGGACGGAAAAAACCATAGAACGCATTTGTCATTTTGCGTTCCAAATTAATGCCTCCTATTTATGGAAACTACAATCAATACAAAGAGCACAGTAACACTGTTTGTAGAGAAAAATCTCATCTACAGTAAATTATTATACAACATGGCCACCGCCATTAGCTCTGCATTTTTCCAGTGGTGGAAAAGAACCTGTGTGTCATGGTTATAACAGTCTGCATTAGCAGAGGCGACCTGCTGTTGCCACTGCACCACCCATTTCCTCACTGTGCTCACATCAACTGTTTGCTTGCTTAGCAGTTTTAGAGACCATCGATGAACGCCAATTCGTTCTATTTTTTCCACATAGTGGAATTGAGTGACACTCCTTTGCTTCAACTGCAACTCCATGTCAGCTGCCATTGTGTCAGACTGCCCCTCTGCTGCCATTTGTCACATGGCAAAAACACGTAATGAAATATTGGTGGGATGTTTCAACCCCTACTGCCATCCTCCTCTGAAATTGTGAGCCATCATCATAAAATAGGAGATATTACCTTCAGAGCAGCCCTTGTTGCAATTTTTACAATTTTTAAAGGTTGCAATTGAGTGTATTCTTTAACCTTAGCTTCTTCATTTTTTGAGCATGTATTTACATGGAGAATTATTGTTCAGCATGTCTAAATGTGGGTACGTTACACTCTAATTTTCTGCTGCTTGGTTTTAAAACTTAGAAAAACTTGGTTTGAGCTTTTTCCTGTTTGTTACAGAATGAGGTAATTGAGGGAGATTTACTTTTGGTGCGTATCACACCAGATGAAGAGGGGAAGTTCGGATTTAATCTAAAGGTAAATCAGCAATCTTTTGTTATCTTAAAATGATCTATATAGATACCGTGATCTGATATTATGATTATTTTTTTGTTTTTAGTGTGATACTTCAGATAAATCAGTATATCCCACATGAATTTCTTAAGGACTCAAAAATTTTTAGAAGTGGCAGCCTAATCCTTAAATGATAAAATCATATTTATGAAAATAGGCCTTTGCTACTTCTGTATTCTTTAATTGCATATACTATGGATGTGACATTTCCAAGGCACTGCCTATTTACATTGCTGTGTAGATATGAACATGGAAACATAATTTAAGATACTAATTTCTAGAAAAAATGTCTGTATTATAAAGCAAGTTAAATAGCTGGTGCCATTTTATCAATTATATCCATGAAGAAATCACATAGAGATGAAAATGAATTGTAAAAATGGGAACAAGTATTGATTCCTCCTGTAAATTTTCAAAAAATTCCATTTGAACAGATAAGATAATGATACCATCAAAATCAGGGTGATGTTTGCTCATTTTGCCTTGCTATTTATTGGTGAAGTTTTGAGAGAGCTTTATGTAAAGGGAATAAGGGAGTATGTATTTATTTATTTTGGAACTTCGATCCTATCTGATCTCGTGCACACTCACCATAATACCTTAATACTGTCCACCTTGTGAGTTCAGATGTTGAAATAAGCTTGCTTGAAGGATAGGGTTTGAGTAATGCTGCATTTGATCTGCCTCTTAAAATGTGTGGACAAGCAAAGCCACCAGGTTAAGTCTACTGGAAAAAAAGTACACCCATCCTGACATTTGCTCATGAGAGTTCAATCTTACTGGCCTCAAGCGACTGAACAAATTTTATATGTAAGTGAAAGTAGGTGATTGTTTAAAATGCTTATGGTCATGTTGTATTGATGGTCATTATTTACTTGACTTTCCTGTAGGGTGGCATAGACCAAAAAATGCCCTTAGTGGTATCAAGAATAACTCCAGGATCACCTGTAAGTAATATCTTACCATTCTAATCTTTCCCTTATTACTTCTTCTACCATTTTCATAAATCTTTATTCACAGGAATCTGGAAATGCATAGCCAATATGAAATAGTAACTGAGCCGTTCTCTTTAGAAATTGATCTGACCGGTGATTTTTCTTTTTTAAGCCATGGATGAAAAGATCAGGAATTGTTAGCCAAACAAGAGACAGTTGGAAAGCATATTTGTTTTCTTTTGTTGTTTCAAATAGTGCACTACAACACTGAAAATACAAACGATGATTGAAGATGCAGTACAGAAGTGAGTGTTATGGGCCTATGCAGCCTATGAAAAAGAAACAATTTAAGGAAAGTACAGCAGAGTTATATAAAATTTGGAGCACTGTGAAATGAGTAGCAGGGGATTCCATTTAAAGAAGAAGGGGCTATCAAATTAGTTAGTGAAAGGCTGAAAATAAATGAAAAGTAGCAGCTTTACATGCTTAAGACAGACCTGTGAAATTCCATGACAAAGGATACACTGATCCTATTTTTCCCTGCACTTTCACATACGGAAATATTTCTGGACTGGGTGGGACATTCATTGGAACCGTACAGTCACTGAGTTATTATGCTGAATTGTGGGCTAATAATAGTGATACAGTACCTTGGTAATTTTTTTTCTACAAAAAATTGTGAGGACGCACTATCTAATCTCAAGTTTTTTATTCTCTTTTTCCCCCTCTCTTTCTTTTTATTTACCAACTTTCATAAGATAATATCAGTGCTAACTTGCTAGGAAATAGTCATGCGTCAAAAGTGTGGAGACACAGTGCAAGAGAAATCACGTCATGTTACAGCAAGAGGAAAATGTGTAATGCTTTCAGCACATAACAATATTAACATTATGTTGTTTTCTGTAAATTAATTTTCACCTGCTCTTGACTATTTAATGACATACAACTGATATTTGTAAGTGGAAGTATTTTTATGGAGTGTGTTTTTGTTCATTTTAGCTCCATGGAACTTCAGTGATGCCTGAAAGATCCATCTTTTGTGGAGAAAGGGAAATAAATGTACACGCAAGGCAGTGTATCATTTTTGGCATACTAATTTTTTTTTTTTTAAATTCCCTTCTACTATAGCAGAGTTCTGGGGAGAAGCAAAAAAACAACCATTTATTATTTTGGTATTTTTTTTAATAAGATTCCTATACTATTGATTTTATTTTATTTTTTTCCCAGAAACAGTATTAATGCCTTAAGGTGATACAGAAGTTGTTATTTAGTAGAACTTTTGATTGAAAAATAATATGTATACTTCCTGGAACAATAACAAAGAGATTAGCATAAAATGAAACATTGGGCAAATCAATAGCAGAGGAATCCTCTGACATAATTAATTGTCTGAAAACGCTCAGTATCTGAAAAATCTACAAATTATGCTTACACAGAAAGAATTAATTTCCATTTGAGATCAATCTGACTGTATAAAATGTGTCAAGCAAGAGAGTTGAGACATTAACATGTCACTTGATTAACACAACTTCTTCGAACATCGATATTCATCTTCTCCTGTAATAAAGAATAATAGCCAGCGACCAGCCAAGAAATATAAATTATGGATAAATGTAGGAGATTTGACACCATTCCCTCTGTGTTCTTGTTGACTACTTGCCACTGCTGGACTGACCTAATGTGACTAGTATGACTGATATGAACTTTATATCATTTATCCTTTCAATTATTGCTAACCATTATATTTTACAGCGATTAAACAATTGTTCATAGTTGCATTCTTCAATCTTGCCTCCATAAATCATACAAAAAATGACTTGCGTCTCTTTTGGGAAACTGTGAATACTTGAAGAACACCATGGCTGTTTCTTATTCCCATTCTGCTTCTATTTGCATATCTTTTTCATGCAGCATTGTCAATTTTCCTTATCCTTCATTTGTATCTTTATTTCTTTCTATAGAAAACGTTTGGTGTTACTTTTTTTTAGTAGGAAGTATTTATTTTGCGTGGGTTCTTTTTTTCATATTGATTCTGTCATTATCACCTCTCTTTTCTGTCATTTTGTTTTTAAATTGGTAATGATACACTTAGTTCAGGCAAGTTATCCATGCTTCCTGCAAGGCATAATCAGGATAAGAAGGAGAGGGCTAATTAGGACATCATTTTCAGGTTTGCTTTTTGATAGAGCTAAAAACATTAGATGAATAAAGGCTGGGGAACCCATGTTAACATTGGGAACAATTATAAATGGAGAATAACAGACTGTATTGGACTAGATCTGATTTATAAAAGATTTAAAATGCAGTGTGTATTTAACTAAATCACTTCTGTACAGCTGAGTACTTCCTAAACAGAACAAAAATCAGAATAGCAGTGATAATAAAATGGTTACACAAGTTGGCACTCTTCTCAAAGGTTATAGAATCCTTCGTATTCATGTTACCAGAATCGTAGACTGGCTGAGGTTGGCATGAACTCTGGAAGTCCAACCCGCCAGCTCAAACATGGACACCATGAGCCTGCTGACTGGGATCATCATCATATCCTATCCGTGGCTTTAATCCCTTTGTGCTCGTCACAATGCTAAGTATACTAAATGTAGCAGAAAAAAAAAGCCAAGCAAGTCCTAAAGTTCAGCAGATGGTCTAAATTGCTCTAAGTTGCAAGATGTAAGCTTAGTGAAGCTCTTAGTGATGCAAATTGGGAAGAAGTAGTCTTCTATGCAAAACATGAGTAAGTTGAAGTTGTAGAAAGGAGCCCGTGTCTGGGGAATGTCCTTAATGTTACTTAAGATATGTTCAGTTTAATAACCTCAAAGTCATATTTGGACTTTCCAGTATCACTGCATAAAAACAGAAGGTTGCAAATGTCATCTTGTACACCTAGAAGACCTTTTTTATGAGAGAAAGTATCATTTGTTAAGGTTTTCAGTCTGAAATTTGGATCATTATGAGCAATTTGGTAATGGCTATCTGATAAATATGAATTCTTCTTTTAGCTATCAATATGCTGTTTGAACTGTTCCTCATCTTCATTAAGAAACTTTGGAGCAACAAGAACAGCTTTAGATCTGAATCCTTTGATTGATGTTCTGATACAGAAGATGAAACTTTTTCAAGAGAACTCTGAAGAATTTGCTTACATGATGAATTGAATATTCTGATTTGTCCCTGCTTATGTGGTTGGATGCAATGACATGAATATGTTTGTTTTTTTTTTTTTGTCTTGAAACAGGCTGACAAATGCATTCCAAAACTGAACGAAGGTGATCAGATAGTATTAATTAATGGCAGAGATATCTCAGAACACACACATGACCAGGTGGTCATGTTTATAAAAGCCAGCAGAGAATCTCACACAAGAGAGCTTGCACTTTTGGTCAGGAGGAAAGGTAACTGGGCTTATTTTATTCACTTCTAATGTTTTGGAGACTTGCTCTTCTGCCTGAATAGGTACGCCTATTCGAGTAAATGTGGTTTTGTTTCACTTGAAATAAGTCTGTGATAAAAAGTAGTTCCTCTTGCATTGAAATTAGTAGCATAAATATTTTTAACTGTGGGCTCTTTCGGATACAAATGAGTCTATCAAGTTAGAATTTCTTCTTATGTTTTTAACTCTAAACTCAAACAACAAATGTTCCTTTTCAAAACTTCCTTTTGGAAATAGAGCATAATTTCACAAATCTTCAGTTGTGAGTTTGCAAATACTTATGAGCTGCTGTTCCCCAGCACAATGATTCTAAAAACAAACAACCTAAAGAGATATTTTTATAATGATGAGAAGCTTGACCCGTGTGGACTACTCACTAATTTCCTGTTGGCAACAGGACAGTTTCGGAAATATGTAGGGTAATAGGTATTTATTTGTTAAATACAAGGAATCAGTCCTGCTCCATTTTTAAACACATGTAGATTGCAGGAGCTTTCAGGTGAAATGAAATGATGATTTACTTTATTATTTACATTCTCTAGGAGCAATGGTAAGACCTTAAAACAAATGATTATTTAAAGGCTTGGCAAGGAGTTTCGGACTGCATTAGGACTTAAAAATCTGGAGGGGTTATGCACTGATAGGAAACAGGAGGCAAGAAAACTGTATAGATGTTATATGCCTCTGTAGCATTTATTTATTTTAAATTTCTTATGTTTGTAGGAAGTTAGATGAGCTGCTCTTGTCATTCTTCCTGAACACAGTCCTGCTTCAGTTATTGCAGGTCTCTCCACTGGCCCCAAGCAGTATTTAGTCTTTCCTTAACTTTTTTTCTTTTATTATTCCTCTTCCTACTTGCAGATAAGTCTTTGCTTTGAGCTAAAGGCTTATCCTGTGGCCCCATGCCAGTCATTTGTATAGGCACGAGTAAGAACATCTTTTTATAGTTTGGTAGGAATGGGCCATACCGATCACTGCAGTGAATAACCACAAGTGGGCACCTTCCGCAATGCAACAGCTTTCATAGACAAAACTGTGGTGAAATTTTTCAATAACATTTTTCATATTCTTCAATATCTTAGCAAGAAATGCCATAGAAAACTGTCGAAAATATTTTGTGATTTATGTTAAAACGAGGGATGTGACTGAATAAGAAATTAGAATATAGAATTTAGTTGCTCCTCTAGTGGAAAAGGAATATATAAATGTATTTATCTTTGCTTTGCTGTGAGGGGATCCAAACTTTCCATTAATTATTCCATTAATAAATATTCCATAAATATTCCATTAATTATCTTCTAATTTTTTTTAATGTAAAATTTACTTGATGTCTACCATGGTAATGTTGTGAGTCATTACCCCACCAGCAGATAAGAGCAGCAAAAAACCTTTTGTGTTTGGAAACAGTCATTTTTAGTTAGCTCCTTAAGGAATTTCTTTTTTCCTAAGGGAAATTGTCTACGAGGCATTTACTCTAGTCCTTTGTGCAGAAATATAATATATAACTAAATGAAGAAAGTATGTTGCTATTATTCACTTTCTTGAAATTTTCTTTGCAAACTTTATTGTTCTCACAAGCTGGTAAATTTTGTCATGCATTGCAAACACATGAATGCTCAACATAAAAAGTTTTAATTTTCAATACATCTTTCAGTTGTTAAACAGTTTGTAGAGCCTAGATTGGAAGATGAAGTTGATTCCCAGAATCTCCCAGAAGCTCTTCTTTGTTCTGAATATGCTGAAACTCTGGATGAGTCTATGGAACAGCTAAGGAAAGGGCTGGAAAGTGGGACAGTAATTCATCAGTTTGAGGTGGGTAATACTCAGCTCTCAAATACTGTTAGTACTAATAGCTGTGACCAGGGCTGTAACTGTAACATCAGGGCTTAATTGATTAGAAAACTTATTTCTCCCTTTCAGTCTCATCTTAAGAGAGCAGGAATATGAGTTGCTCCTCAGATTTGATTAACATTTTTCCAGCTCAAGTACCCAAAGCTCACTAAATTTTTTTTAAATTGTTTTATTGAGTAAAATAGTAGGAGATTGACAGAAGATAGTTTTGTAGTTTTTTTCTTCTATGCTAATAGGTGAAGTTTCTGAAACATCTTTTTTATCCTTAGATTTTTCTCATTCTCATGTTTTGCTGCCTTTCATGGAATATAGCATCAGCAGCTTGACTGTTCCTGCTCTTCTTCTCTGAGAGGTTAATGTGGAAATGTGGCAATGTTAATTTCCGTATGTGGTCTGTAGTGTCCAGTCTGATGTTTTTTCCTGCAATCTAAAGCACGGATGGTTACTTCTTGGGCAGATTATCTGTAGGTGAGATTCCCCTGTATGCAAGATGAGACTTGACAAACTGCTGTATAGAATAATTCATCAATGTTTGTTCTTCAAAATGTTGGCAAGGTATACTCTAGAAAGCTGATCATTAAAACATTTGCAGTTTATTAAAACAGTTCTTCAGTGTTAGCATAGAAATTAGAAGCAAGAAATTTGAAAAGGTAATTCTGTTTCTTTTCTAATGGAAATGTATCCCGCAGTATGTTTGTGTTCATTTTTATTGTTGGAGATATAAGCATTTATTTTGTAGGCTTTGTAACTTTGGAGAAATTCTGGTTATTATGACTTAATAATTTCACATTGTTAAAGTCTGGCATTGTTCTTTCAGACTCTGTAAACATACTGAACAGCAGTGGCAATTTTCCCATTTTGTTCCTTTTTTTTTTATAAATTCTGTAAAATGTGTAAAATGTTATGCTGGTGGCTGAAGAATTTTGATGTTACTTATTACAAAACATTCCTTTTATGAGTTCTCCTTTGTTTCCAAAATTTCTGAAGAGTTAAGTCTTCCCTGTCTTTTAGAAATTCTTGACTCTGTGGTGTATATCAGCTTTCCAAAATCCACAACAGTGTTGGAATGTTGTAATAGCAAATCTATTAGCTACTGAAACAGTAACTCAAAAGAACTAGTGTTTTAGTATGTTAATTGTACATGAATTTAGCCAGCAACTCTGACAATGTTTCCTCAATAATTTTCATTGAATATTTGATTCTTTGACATTTTAATTTCCAGACAGCAGTTTTAGCAGGATGTTATTGATGTTACAAAGAAGTGCAGAACGCTTTTGAAATCTAATAAATGTAGTGAGCTTAGTGGTCGTCTTCAAATTCAGTGTCTGTTGCAGTATCTCCTTGTCACCTTTGGTAACTATCATGTTCTCCATTCATGTTAGTAAAATAGATAATAATTAATACACTATCATGTAGCCAATTTTTTTTCCTGAATATCTTTCCCTGTTTTATTTCCACTTAAACATTATTCAGGAATTCTCTCTATTAAGTAGCTTTTTAGACAGGCAGCAACAAGAGAGCTCCAGGATTGTTGCTTTACATGAAATTGCTCTTCCTTGTCTCCCACAAAAAAAGTAGAAATTTTAAGTTGTCTCTGTTAAAATGGAACTGAAGAAAGCTGTTTGGTTGCTACATAGATTATCAAGCTCTCTTCCCATACAGCCTCTTCCCTTGTTTGTGCTGTGGAGAATGAAAAATGTAGTGAGCTATGGTACACACTGAGTCCTGTGATTCAGTAAGTCTTTTAATAGAATAAGTTTTGTGTGCTCATCCCTTTCTCTTAAATGAAGTAGGAGATTTTAGCATCCTATTGGTTTCACTTAATTTTATGTACACAACCACATTCTAAATCTTACTTAAACATGAAAGCTGTAATTACCTCTTTGACAAGTGTTCAGTGAAGCGCATAAAACTCTGGCACAGCCAGGTTAATAACTCAGTTGTAAATTGCTTTCATGTATATTTAATACAGGGAAACTATAATTGTGTGGTTGCATTTCTTCAATATTTTTTTTGTGGTGTTTGCCCCCAGTACCTTTTATTGCCTCATACCATGTATTCAGTGCATTAGACCTCAGAATTAGTTTTTTGCTATATGCTCATTTGCCCACATTTGCTTAAGATAAAGTTTGCGAGGTGTAGGTCTTGGCAAGATAGGATGGAATTACATATTAAAAGACTGTGGTGTGCTGAAGATTTGCCTTTTCAGGTGTTAAGAGTTGAATGTGGTAGTTTTAGTCCAGAGAATATTTTATTTTTTTGTATTACAGTTGATTCCAAGTAATAACCGATATCAGTCTGTAACCTTTTTTGTTATCTTTTATTGCTCAATTCTTCTACTTTCTTTTTTCCTTTTAGCCCTTTCACAATGGTGTGGTATGTGTTATAAGAAAAGATGACTTTACAAGGAAAAAGCCAGTTTAGATCAGTGACTCCCAATTTTCTATTTCCTTCTAGAAATTCTTCTAGAGATGATGATGAATTAGCAATAATAGAAGTTATTTTTGCGTGAAAATATAAGTAATAAGTAATTCAGGGGAATTTTGCAGTTGGCTAGGAAAAGTTGAAGTAGCTTCTTATTTTTATTTTTTTTTATTGTTGTTGTCTTCATGTGGATCTGTTTAGCATAATCATATCTTACCTTTTTGTAAAATTCTGTTTTCCAGCAACTTTATAGAAAGAAACCGGGATTGGCTGTTACATGTGCAAAAGTGCCTCAGAATATGGACAAGAATCGATACAAAGATGTTCTGCCTTGTGAGTATTAAGTACATATTTTCTCTATCTGTTGTTTTATTTTCTCAGTGATAGTATATATGCTTAAAACTGGTTTATTTAACTTCTTGGTAAAGCTTAATTTTTGTTCAAAAAAATTACATAATCATTCACTTTATTTTCTAAAGGGTTATCTATTTTGTTTTGTACCCTGCTATTTGTCTGTCTGCAGTTCCTCTTTTTCTTTCATTAAAAGGGAAACATTTGTCTTATTTTCTCATTTGATTCCCTCTTTTTTTTTGTGTGTGTGTGTGTGCAGATGATGCCACAAGGATAATATTGCAGGGGGATGAAGATTACATTAATGCAAATTATGTGAATGTAAGTCATACAATGAGCTGTACTTGCTTGCTTTTTGTATTGTAATAGCTGACTTAATTTAGCCATTTTAAGGAATGAGATATATTTGTTTTAATTTGGGGGGATTCCTGAATATAAGAGTTATGTAGATTCATACCGTAAAACATCAAGTGTCGCTTGTGAAACAACCAGCTGCCTTGATACACAGAAAATAGAAACACCATTATTTTCATATACTGAATAACATAAATTTGTGGGATTTAATATTTATTTCTGTGTTGCACTTCTGAATGCAAGTAACATTCGTGACTATTTTTTTCGTGATTTTAATGAAAATTGCTTTCCAATATTTATCTTGTGACTTTTCTGGGCTACATCAAAAGAGAGGAGGTAGCAGGGCATGGGAGATTCCCCTACACTCAGCCTCATCTGGAGTATTGCATCTCCAGGCCTGGGGCCGCCAGCACAAGGAAAGTGCAGAGCTGTTGGAGCAGGTCCAGAGGAGGCCACAAAGATGATCAGAAGGCTGGAGAACCTCTTCTCCAGGCTGACAAGTCTTTCTTCATAGAAGGGAGACCTCATTGCAACCTCCTGGTTTTTGAATGGAGCTTATAAAGAGGAGAAAGACTGACTTTTTATGTTGTCTGATCGTGACAGGACAAGGGGGAATGGCTTTAAATTAAAGGGGGAAATTTATGTTAGATGTTAGAAATTCTTCATTCAGAGGATGGGAAGGCCCTGACACAGCTGCCCAGATAAGCTCTGGCTGCCCCATCTCTGGAGGCGTTTAAGGCCAGGTTGGATGGAATTCTGAGCAGCCTAATGTGGAGGGTGGCAGCCCTGCAGATACCAGGGATTTGGAAGTAGATGGTCTTTAAGGTTCCTTCCAACCTGAGCCATTCTGTGATTCTCTGACTGTGAATAATTAGACATTAAACTAATGAAGCGGAGCAGTTAAGTCTCTTGGAGGTTTTTGCTAGTTGCTGAAAGTGTTCTGCTGTCTGAGCGCAGTCATGGAGATTAAAAGTATTTTAGAACAACTTATGTTGGGTATCTTGTCAAGTTTGATTTCTTAATAAATACCTCAGTAGCCTAGGAAGCATTTGAGCTGTTCTTATTGTATCCTGTATCAGCCATTACACAGCTTTTACTAGTGCAACTTTGGTAAATTTGTCATTATTTCTTACTAAATATTAAATAAAGGTTTGGAAAGGTTTGCAGCTTTACATTTTTAAATACATTTGAAAACAGAGATACCTTTTATTTGGCTCTTCCTAGTTCAGATGAAGGGATTTAGTATCTATAGTTCTGGTTTAAATGAATGTTAAAGGTTATCACATAACAAATTGTGATTTTAATTGTCTTATTGCTCAATTTTAATTTTTAATCATCCTTCAAAATGTTCTTTGTTTGAATGAAATGCTGAATATTAAAAATAAATAGTATTGCATAGTGAGAACTAATTGTACTTTAACTCCTTTTTATTTATAGATGGAAATTCCTTCTGTGGGCATTGTGAATAGGTACATTGCTACTCAAGGGCCTCTTCCTCACACGTGTGCACACTTCTGGCAAGTTGTCTGGGATCACAAGTTGTCGCTGATCATTATGTTAACAACACTCACTGAACGTGGGCGGGTAAGTGTGTTCATGTTCTTCGTATTCTGAAGAAATACTACACCTTGAAACTGTTTTTCCCATTGTTGTGATTAAGGAACCTTAATATAGGCCCTCTTATTCTGTTGAACAATTTCTCTGAAGGCCAGGCTTTTTTGAATTAATTGGGGGAAGACAAACTGCGTGACTTTGTTATTTTCTGTTTCTTTGAAAGCAAACCAGCTGTCTGATCATCAGAATTGACTTGAATTTTACTGATCAGCCACATACTGCTTACTGTCCTTTCCCATGAGAATTCGATTCTGTGTCGCAGTTGCTTTCCTAGGGACTCAGAAAATGTCTGGAATGTCTGAGCAAAACTTGTGGTCCAGCTTGAAAATGGAATCTATCATTTCAGTACTTATTAGCTAAAGCTAGCTAGTAATGCTAGCTGTCAGAATTTAATCTGCTGACTTTTATGTCGGTTTGTGTAAGTGAGATTAATAATGAATAGGTCTGTCATGTCCTTTTGTTGAAAGGAAGGCATTAGATAAAGTTTTTTAGGTCTCTGTTGGGGCAAGTCTTTTGTAATTCCAGCAGAAGATATTCCATCACTTCTTTGGACCTAAGAAGTGCCAACGTCAAATTGTTCTCACCTGTATTCCAAAGGTTAATTGTTCTTAACAGTGAAGAATTTTATTCTTTTATCCTGCAGTAATTTCTTCTGAAGCAACCTCCGCCCATTGCGTGTTGCTTTGCCACTACACATCCTTGTGAAAACAACGCACTTCTTAAAATCACCATTTAGATACAGAATGCCTGCTTTAAATCCCATTGTATCTTTGATCTCTAGAGTGAACAAATCCAGTTTCTTCAACCATGATGTAGGAGACCTTCAGCTGAATCACCTCCATTTTTTTTGTGCAATGAAATACATACTATATTGATTTACATACTGTGTTAATTATGCATCCATTCTAAAACTTGACTGACTTGCTTGTGGTAAAACAAGGTCTGTTAAAGCTTTTGTCCCTGAGTGATTCACAACTTTGTCTATTACTTCATTTTTTTTGAAGGAGCTTTTAAAGTTTCAATACACTTTTGCATTTAGATTTTTAAACTTTGGAAATAGATACTTAGTTTTAGATGCTCTTTTGGAAAAGTAAATACTTTTTCTTCTTTGAGCCATCATAAACTGGAATCTCATAAAAATTATCAGTGATTGTTTTGCTTTCATAAGGAAATGCTTCTTGAAGATGTGTGCTTTTTTAATAAACTTGTCATACACCTTTTCACTGGACTTTACAGTTCATGACCTTTTGTGCCAGGAAAATTGATAGTGTTCCATTTCATTGTGTTCAGCACACCTTTTTTTTCTACCTGTGTGACCCAGACTGCCTACCTCTCACTCTCGCTCTCAGTCATCTTTGATAAAAACAAGTAAAGATTATTGGCTTTAGTGCAGAGTCCAAGACATTTCCACTGGTAAAATTGAATTAACAAGGTTGTTTAGTAGTGGCTGACTTGCTATAGATAGATGTGTTTGCCCTACGTAGTGCCTAGCTTCTAATGTATTTGAGACATGCTTTTATAAGTTGTGAACAGTTGTGATGACATACAATAGGATTTTAAAGCTGTATAGTATCTTCCAGGGAATTTTAATCCAGTTACTTTATGGAATTGAAAAGCAATATATTCACTGTAAGCTGTATTGTTGCTAAGAGCTGACTGGAGAAAGGAAAAATAAAATAGATAAGCAGCGGTTTTAACTGGAAACTAGATTCACAGCATGCCCACCTGCTTGTACTTAATCTGTATCCGTACTCCACTGATGCTCACTGTGGAGTTCTATACAGCTGCTTGGGAAAATATTCGTTAGTAAGCAGGGCACTGGTGATATCTCTTGTCAAACTCTTTACACAATACTGTAAGCAGTTTACTTCTTTCAGGACTATTCTAATAGGTTGTTTTTTGATATGTTGTTTTGATACTATATTCAGTATTTGTGATTGAATTAGAAGTGTACTCATCAAACTTTGATAGAACCTCATGCTTTGAAAAATAGTTTTCCGAAATTGAAGTCTCGGGCAGAAAGCTTTTAGCTTGCATCCAATTTATTTGAATTTTTTTATTATAAATGTCTATAACACAAGTTTACAGAGAATTTATCCTGTTCCGTCATGCTACATTTGAGTTTTGAACATTATCACCAGCAAAGGGTTACAGTTGTTCCCTGAATTTCTGAACCACGGGAGAACGCTCTGGAAACCTGTTTGAGGTCTTGATGTGCACTTAATTTTCCTTCATCTCTACAGACAAAATGTCATCAGTATTGGCCTGATCCACCAGACGTAATGGAGTATGGCGGCTTTCGTGTCAGATGCCACTCGGAAGATTGTACAATTGCGTATGTTGTTAGAGAAATGGTGATTACAAACGTTGAGGTAAATGCTTCCTGTCTTAAATTATGTCTAAGCAAGATGAATGAAAATATATGCATATAAGTGATTGTATACTGTGTGAATATACACATTTTTATAAAAGATGAGTGTATAGAATACGGATCAGTGCACTATAATCATAATTTCTCAAAAGCATACATTTTGAAGGGTTGCGTTGTCTTGTAATACATTAATCCATTATACTGTACAGATACTGTAATGAGCTTCATGAAGAAGTTTGATGCTTTACTGTAAACAGTGTTGCAGTCACTGACTTTTCATAAATAGATTTTCAGTAAGATTTTTTCGGTGTCCTTTCAAGGATGAAGTATGGGTGACTTGGTTAATGGCACATGTGCCTAGAATAGCTAGAAGAGGAGCAATTTGCAACAATATTCATTTCAGAGAGTACATAGAATCTTACCAGCTCTTTTTTTATCATCTTTACTTAGAGTTTAAAAAATAAAAAATCGCTCTGAATCTCAAACCCAGCGTACTCAATTTATGCATGGCACTTAGTTACTTTAGCTGTTAATATTCTGTGCATATAGGACGCTTACAAACCAAAAGGGAAGTGAAATGCATGGAATACTTGTTACACATGAGCTTGTGTTGTGAAATTAATGTTCAGGTCCCATTTCTGTCTCCCACAGCATGAATATAGGGAATAAAATTTGGCTTATGATAATAGGTTGTCTAACATTTCTTATACTTTTCCTTCTTTAGCTCTTTTTCAATATTCTGTGAATATTGATCAAATATTTTCTAAAAAGAAGAATGGTTTATGCTAGTTATGAGAAACCATCTGTTCAGGGAGCACTATGACTTTTCGTTCTGTTTTTCAGCCAACTGCTCTGTAAGTAATAAACTTGAATGTCAGTACAGAAGAAACTAACCTCACTAAAGCAGAAAATATATAGGCAAATTTCTGTTCGGCATCATTCAAACTAGTTGATTGCCAATTAAATTTGGTTATCTAACTCTTTTTGTAAATTTTAGCTTAAGCCCCCTCAAATTCTTTTTCCCAGTTAGTAGTTATCACTGTTTCATAATTCTGAGTAAATTCAACAGTGATTGTGTTCAGTATGCATCACTTGTAGCTTCTAGTTCTATTGTGTGGTAGGTAAAAATGTTAGTGAGAATGGGCAGGTGATTTTTTTCATACAATTTATTTCATGCAATCTATTTTGAGATAGATTGTTCTTCTTCTGTAGTCATGCTAATAAATGTGAAAGTTCAAGGATCTTGTACAAAAAGTTGTCTCATGTAGCTATCAGCTGAGAACATCATTTCTACTGCAAAGGCTTATACTTGTGGAGAGCTCACTGCCATGAGACAAAATGGTATAATTTTTAAAATCACCTTAAAGCTAGACCTCAGTGGAAGTGTTACTGTGGGAAGAGGTGGTTTTGATTGTCTGCTGTTTTGTTGGGTTTTTTTTCTGTTTTTTTAAAATCTATTTCACTAAGGACAAGTTTTCATATACATTTAAATGGAGTGGTCACATGGTCACACTCAAAGAAACACTCACTATTCAGCTGTCCCATGCGGTTAAAAATATGACGCTAATAACTGAAAGCCCTGTGTGAGTTTTGTGTTTCAAAATAACAAGGTACAAAGGCTTTTATTTCAAAATGTAGTGGGGGAAAAAACAATGAATTATCTCCTAGTTTTTCACATCATTTCAGCTGCTTTTCTGGAGCTGAGTAAATTTATTCTTCTGGGGGCATCTTCTGCTGAAGAGTATACTTTGCAGAGCCTTATATGTGCTCTCACTCACAAATATTGTTGAATTCTGTAAAGAATACATCAAAAGTCGTATAAATTCAAATCAGGTTTTTATCATTCCCTGATCTATAGCGAGCATCATTGGATTGGTCTTTATGAAGACAAGTAGCTTTTCATAATAAGATGGATAAAGCTTCAAAACTCTCAAGAGATTTGATTTCGATTGGAAACGGTTGTTTGTGAAAAATCTTTGTGTGTATTAAATTGCATAGATTTCAAATCTGCCTTTAGAGGAAAACTGCTAAAAAGTGAATTTTACGAAATGATGCTCCTGGCCTTTTGTTCACATATATTCAGAAGACTTGAATTAAAACAATTTTAGGATTCTTCTGACCCAGTTTATCTTGGTGCTTCTTTACCTGAAATTGAAGCAAGTGACAGCAAATGTATGAAATACATATGTAACCTTTCTAAGCCTCGTGAAAAGAAATAGGGTTTAATTTTCCATCATCTGTATGTATCCTGTGCAAGAAAAGCACAGAAAACAGTAAGCTTGGTTTTTTGGGGGGAAAGGCTTTGGGGAACCAAAACAAACATAGCCAACAGATAAATTCATCACACTGCGCTATTTCATAAAACAAGATAAGCGTTTGCTTTAATCGTTGAAAAAATAGGATGAAAAGCTTGAAGAAAACCTTTCATTCAGTTACCTTTGGGAATAATTGCCTTGGAACATGCTGACCTCTCCAATTTCAGCCAGCTATATTCTGAACATATATTTTTCGAGTTTCCTCTGTCTTTAAGCAACTTCAGTTAAATTTAACTAGAATCCTGCTGTGGTACTTAGGAAGGCTACAGAGATAATGTTTGCTGGAGCACAGTATTCAAAAAGCTTGAAATAAGAAATGTTGCAAGTTAGGTTTATTTCATTCTGTCACATTTTACGTTACTTATACTCATTTCCAAAGTGCATTATCGTTCTCCCTCCTGATTTGATTATTAACTAAAATAAATCATTCAACAAAAAAAAAAAAAAAAAAGTAAAGATACTATACTAAAATATTGATTTAATTTCATCCTTTAAAGGCCAGTTAAACCATTGCCATAATAATAATTGTGCACCACAAGAGAGAGTACTGACACCTTATGAACAACGTAAGTCCATGTGATTAAGACAATTCCTTGCAGAGAATATGGAGTGTTTGCACAAATGATGACAATGTAAATAAGATTTTGAGAGAACAGCTTATTTTTAATTTATAAGCTATCACCTGCCATTGACATCACAGTGATGGACAGGATGATTTGATGAAAAATAAATAGATTGGAGTATCAATTCAAAGAAATTGAAAGCTAGGCATGAATTTGTTTTGCTAAGGAGGATATTGCTGTTTGCTGCAAGTAGGTAAAATTGCAAGACAAATAATGTCACATCTTTCTATTTATGAATGACTAGCTTGCAGGCCTTCTAGTCATGCTGTTTAAATTGATATGAGACAAATTGTAGGCAGTAAATAAGCAGCACCTTCTTCTATCAGCAACTGAAAATATGGTCAGTCTTATTTTTTTTTTTTTACAGGTCTCTATTCTTAAGGTTTACATTTCCAGACCATTTGTCTTATTTGCAAGTTGCATAATGTACAGCAGTTTGAGGGAAATATTCAGCTTGTTCACATTAAATATTCTTAAGTTGTTTCACTGAAACTTATGTTTCCACTCATTATAAATAAGACCTTTTATTTTCTTTCCAATGACATTTATATAAATTTGACCATTTCATAAATGTCTGGAACTTACTGCACTGCAGAAGTACTTTAAAGACTTCTCTGGGAAGTATCTGGACTGAATGTAATCTATTCTGTCAAATACTTACTGTAGAAAAAAAAAAATAATGAATTGGTTCTGAATATAAAGAGCTGAAGAACAGAAAGTAGATGAAAAGTTTTATGGCAGAGGTCTTCAAAAGCATAATGAGATTGGAGTAGAGGTGCAAAGAAGTTACTACTCTACCCTTCACCAAACCAGGCCTTAAGCCTCATCACAGAATTTCAGCTTTCAATAGTTGTAAAGCTCAGTAGCTAGAAGTGTGCCATTTTCCTTCAAAGAAGATAGCCCCATTTCAAGGTAAATGTGGTTCTACGCTGTAGTAGTACCATTGTTAGAAGATAAAATTAAAAACTAAAAAGCAAAAATGAAGAAGTAAAATGCAAACAGAATTGTTCAAGTTTTAAGAAAAGTAAAAATTAAAGTTGACTATTTGAACCTAAATTTCCTTCCTTATTACTTAAGTATTATAATTCTTGTGTGTATGCTGGTTTTTTTTTTGTTTTTTTTTTTGAAGAACACCTGACTCTTTTATTAATCAGTGAGAATCAATCTAGCAAAATGAAATGAGGAAGCCTACCTTTCAGTGTAATTATGAGAAACAAGATATCAGTCTGCAGAAGGATGAAGGATGAATATTTTTCTTGCTGATGATCTACACAGATGAGTTTTGTTTCTGAAGTGTTACAGCACGCACTTGATGTTACCTCTGCCAACCCTAGAAAAGGTCATGGTGTTTTTGAGAGAAATCCAGGATATTTGCCTAACCACAGTGAAATTGCATTCACAATAAGGTGTTCTTTTTGTAGTTCTACCTGTATGGAAACTGATCTCTGGTGATAGCAAGTACAAAAATAAATTGAAATCTGTCCACATGATTGAAGCGTCAGGGTGTACAATGTCAAGTTAGGCAAATGTAGCAACTGGGCAATGAGCAGCTCTTGCTCTCTCAGTGAGTATATATATGTTTAGACTTATTAAACAGGAGTCATAAAGCCAGATTTTCTAAAGAGAAGTTCTACATTTATCAGTAATTCGGATGTTACAATAATGATTATCACTTAAAATGTTAGTGGGCTGAAAAAAGAAACTCTAATTATGATTTAAGTTGCCTTGCAGGCAATAATAGTTTGCGAAGTGGCTTAAGTGTAATGAGAGTCTACCTCTTCATTTGACATTACCAGTTTTTGACAGAGAAGCAGGGTCTGGAAGAAATTCAGACATGCATAGTGGAGCTGACTGTGGGACCAATAAATATAATTCTAGCACTTTTTTCTCTATTTAACCTAGGAGTAGTAGATTTTGTCGTACATGCATAACTGGTAATGCATGTTATTTCCATGTGTTTTCAGCATTCTGCTGACCAATTCAATTCACTATGAGTATAAAGACTTGAAAAGTAAAAACAGATAAAAGAAAACACCAATCACTCAAACATAATGAACTCTAGTAATAGTTTTGTGCTTTCTGAATGAGATATTTCTTAGAGCTTTAAAAAACTCGATTTCTAACACAGATATACTTGAGCATTTTGATAAGCCAAGTAGTGATCAAGTTATTAATAGCTTGAATCATCTCCTAGACTTCTACTCAGTACACGAGCAGTAGGCATTCTGTCTTCTCTGTTTTATTGGCTTGCTCCTTGGGAGTGGAACCACTTGCTCTAATGGAAGAGAAAAGCCGAAGTTGAAAGCATTTGAAACAGGTCATATATTCCAGTAATTGTACACTTAAGAAAATAAATAAATAAAACTCCAAGTCTCTAGCATCAATAAAGCATTGTTGCACAGACAACTAGAGAGAGGTCAGCTTTTATAGTCTAGTGCAGTGATAAAGGATGGTTTTATTTCAGTAAGTGTCAAATGTTATCTTTGGCTGTGGACATCAGTCAAACAGAAACTAACAGTGTATCTACTGCTAAGTGTGGAAGAAATAAAGGAATGATATGAAGGCTTAGTTCATGAAGAGTGGTATATCCCCATTGCACAATACAGCAATGCTCAGAGTCTTTGGCTTCTTGTTTACTTTATTTTTCGGACTAATCATTGGCAACACCTGTAACATAACATTTGAGCCTAACCTGAATGGTTTCAAAGCTAGCACAGAGCTAAAATGCAAGATATTCTATAAAATTGCTTTTAAGTATGATTGAATGGAAAAAAACCCTAGTTATTCATATAGCAGAATCTTTCAAGTAATTAGCTTGTGTTCATAAAGAAAAATGTCCTGTGGCAGAACAGAAATCATTTATATGTTTACAATTAACATATATAGTTTTTCAACAGAAACTACAACAAGCAAATGTTAGAGGCAACTTTATATTTTAACAGTCTGTAGATACACACAGAGGTGTATTTAGATAAGATATGCAGCTATAATTTGGGAGATTGAATTGGTTTGCAGAATGAGAAGAAAATGGCATTCATCTGTTTTTTATGGCAGGGCTTAATGTTCTGCAGGTTATGAACAAGTGAAACGCACCTTTCACCACTGAGCTAGTGGTGCCAGTGTAGCATTCATGTAGCATTAGATGTGCTAGCCTCATTTTTATGAAATGTCAAAACAATGCTTTTGAGCTGTGATTGGGAAGCCCTGATGCTCATTATTTTGGTGTAATTCGGAATGTTTCTTCTTTGGCTTCCAGCTATTTCTTGCAGTCTCTCCTCAACTGTTGTGTAAGTTGCGTAGCATTTTACCTCAGGTGAATCATTGATGTCAAGAATCAATAAACTTAAAAATTGAAAATCTCCAAGAATTTAGGGGTTTTTGTTGGTTGTTTTTTTTGTTTGTTTGTTTGTTTGTTTTTTGTTTTTAAAATCTGTTTAGATTACAAGTAAAACTTGATACCTCATTTATTTGGAAGTGTCTGTTAAATGCTAAGAATTACATGTTTATACATTATTCTGAATTATAAAATGACAAACGTTTTCAATGTCATAGACAACTTACAGCATCTGCAGATTATGTGAAAATTGTGACTTGTACCTAATAAACATCAACACAGGAATTGTAACACTGAACACTCTTTGCAAATCTTACTGTATTTTAGACAGAACAGCAACACACTGTCACTCATCTTCAGTATGTTGCTTGGCCCGATCATGGTGTTCCTGATGACTCCATGGATTTCTTGGAGTTTGTGACCTGTATGAGGCCAAAGAGAATAGAGAATGAGCCAGTTCTCGTTCACTGCAGGTACTTGTGTTTTAAAATTCTACACATACCCTTGCTGTAGCCTTACTATGAACATTTGCTTTGAGAACTGTCTGGAAGGTAGCAGATTCCTTGAATTAAATGGGAATACTAAGATAGAAATATCAGTTTCTTTCCTTTCTCCTGCATCCTTTTGGTGAAATTGCTTAGTTACAAAATTATCACAAAGCTGATCATCTGTAATGTAAGTTGTTCTCCATTTTTATCCTCCACTACCTCTGTGAATTCATTGTGAATGGTACTTCAAAGTTTTACTGTGATTAAAGTCCCTGTCAAAAAGCAGGCTGTTACCTCTTATCTTTCTAGTCAAAAATATAAAATCAGTACATGTAGATTTGTAAGTAGCTGCAAATGTAGATTTGTAAGTAGCTGTAACTGTTAAAAAGCATTTATTTTGGGACTTTTTGTCCAACAATAAATTGTTGTTGTCATTGTCAAGAAATGTCATGGAAATTGCTTTAAAGATAAGCTTTGTGCTCTATTCTAATTGTATAAACGTCGTCCTGTAATTTGCAAAGCTAGTTAACATCATAATATTATGATAAGAGTCCTAATTTTATAGACTGTTTTTCTGTTACATTTCACAGTGCTGGAATCGGTCGCACTGGTGTACTGGTCACTATGGAAACAGCCATGTGCTTAATTGAAAGAAACCAACCTGTTTATCCGCTGGATATTGTAAGAAAAATGCGAGACCAGCGAGCTATGATGGTTCAAACATCAGTAAGTGATAGAGCGGGAATAGAGCGGGAAACCTCATTTTCTCTTTACGTTTTGCTCACGTTCATTTTTAAAACAGATGCAAAGTATTGCATGATCTAGTTGTATCTGTCTTCAGTTGCCTTTATATTTCATGCTTCTATGTTTAGCATGACATAGTGCAGTGAGACAAAGTATTTTTGCTTCTTTAGAGAAGAGGTGTGCATTTAACTGTAAATATTTCTTACCTTGTCATTAGAAGGTGATTGATTTCTATTCCTTGCACTTGGTTAGAATGCAGAAAGCCATTAAGTCATAAACAGCTAAGGAATATTCCTTATCTGTTTATATTTCTTCATCTAAATTCTGTGCAGGAAGATAAAACAACTATTTGTTTTTCATTCTTTGTACAGAGCCTCGTAGGTAGTTCTCAAACTGGAGGTAAAATAGAAGTGCTTGTGCTGTGTTTTGTGGAAGAAGCATCTTTTGAAAAGGAGTAGAAATTTGGTAGGAATAATATGTTTCTTAAACTGTGCTGCTACTCCAGTTTAGAAAAACAAGGAGTAGGAATAAATTATTGAGAATAAGCTGGATATTAATAACTGAAATATGAAAATAAGAGTTGATTTTTTTAACAAGGAGGTGGTTTGAACATTTGAGATCATGAGGGCATTTTTTGTGTTAAATGTGGAAATGAACAGACTGATGTTAGAAATGAGGGATAGGAGTCTCCACTGCCTTCAGAAGAAGTCAGATAAGAGAATACTGTGTGCATTATCTAAAAGAGCTAAATGCCCTATGATAAATCAAAGTAAAGGAGTTTAGACCCATGTAGTCAGCAGCTAGGCCTAGCATTTCTGTCTTTGATCTTAAAAAGCAAAACAAAACAAAAAGTTAAACCCAACACTTTGATTTCCCCTTGAGCAGAGGAATCACAGCATGATTAAGGTTGGAAAGGACCTGCTGCAAATATAACTGACCAGATGGGAGGAAGTCTTTTGTTATCTAAGGGTATGAAAGCATTGGAAAGTGTCAGGAATTATGGTTGCTAGTGTAATACTAGAGTGCTCTGTGAATAGAGATTTCTCATGTATGTTGCTGAGTCTCATGTCATTCATTGCTGTATGAGTGCACTCCCTGGACGTGCAACAAGATTTGACTGTATGACTGAGGAGCAAGTTGTATGAATAGTGCCCTGCCTGTTCCTTATGGAAATGACACATGGCATCTTAGCCTTAAGATGTTTAGGAAGCTGAATGTTGACTTACTGAGTTTGCTGCCTATGCCTCTCTGTTTCTAAGATGAACTGAGGAAGTTGAAAGTTAAACTTTATGAAGATGGTCTTATTTTTAAGAATCTGATGTGAGAACCTGAAGTTCTCTAAATTTTAATGGGTGCTGAGAACCTCCTGTTGTAACAGTCATCAACAGGAATTGTTTGGCATAATAAAGAATGTGGAGTATAGTGATAAATATATTAACCATCAGACCTTGATTGTGAAAGCTACGTACTAAAACAAGGCTCCTTACTTTGCATGCTGCGTTTCACAGTTCTCTATCAGCACAATTAAGAGAGAATTATGTAGCAGCAGTACAGCGAAGCTAAATTCACTTGTTATTTCTAAAGTATGCAGAAGCCAATGAGCAGAGCTGGCAATGAGCAGAGCTGGCAGGAATGAGGCACATGAGTGAGCGCTCAGCAATGAGAAAGCATAAGACCAGAGAGCTCCATGTTAACTTATATTTACCTACTGCGAATACTCTTTCATTCCTCTGCATCCATTTCAGCTGGCTCCACAGCTCATATCAACTGCACCGTTTCCAGGGGAAGCTGTTAGGGGTTGTTCAGCTGTAGCAGCCTGACCTGAAGCATATTCAGCAGCTCTGTAGCTTCAGCTTTGAGGAGATAGAATATGTAGCCAGATGCGTGTTGTAATTTAAGATCAGATGGTACATGCCTGATAAAAATGGACTTAGCAGAGCTATTAACAAGTCAATTTAGTGTCTTCTATTTATTGTGTCAGAGTTCTGGATTTGATTTTTTTTTTTTTTTTGAAAATCTATAATCTGGTCATCAGGAACAGCAAAACAAAAACTAACAAGAAAATATAATAGCTTCAACAAAATTAGTGTAACTCTATGGCCTTATTGTTATTATTTATTTATTTTTAAAGGTGCTAAATTCCTTTAAAAGACTAACTAGAGATACTAAAAAATGCTTTATGACATATATAATAGAGCTAGTTATGAGCAAAGTGAACAGTAGGAATACTGTAATCTGAGTCAGAGGAAGCAGTGCTGAAGTGTTCGTTCTTACTTGCTCAATAACTTCATCACACAAAGGAGTTAACAGAAGTGGTGAACAGAGAGCTAAATATTGCACTTGGGTTGTTCTGGCAGCAGAAATATGCAGATGAAAATAACAAGAGAAAAGTCAAGGTATTTAAGAAATAAAGACAAAAGAACAAAGTGATACTAGAGGTGGGAGTAATTGACTGAAGGTTTGGAAGAAAAGGCAGGAAATTGAGATAGAGAAAATGAATTTCTATCCTGAACTTTTCCTTTATTTTCTTTCTGTACTTAAGAAAAAATATTTTGAACATGTATGGATAAGAATAAAGGTCTGACCTACTGGTATTGAAATGCAACATAATGTTCTTCATAGTCCATACATTGTCTTTTATTTCTGTCCTTTGAGAGATTCTGGGGGAATGCTTCCAAATCCTCCTGGAGTGTTGATGAGAGTTGACATAAAATGGCAGCTGGGAGAATATTTCGAAGATATGAAAAGGAATTCAGAAAACATGAAGCTGTGCTTCTCCTAATGTGATGTTGAGGCAAAGCTGTTCATTTGGAGGTTTGACTGAGTGAGCAGTCGGAAGTACTTTTGGAAGATGTATACTTCGATCCTCATGAGTTCTTTTTGTGTTCTCAAGATTAGGCCAATTGTAAATATTTCTTCTGGCTATATGGAATTTTCATTGTGCATTTTAATGTTGTCTTGTATCAATTTTCAGAAAGAGATTCTCAGCCTAAATGCTTTTGACAAGTAAGAACTTTGAAACATTGCAGAAGAACCATCTTTGTAATAGAGTAATTCAGAAAATAAATACTAATTTAATTTTTTAAGACCTTATAAGTACTAAATGAGTTCAAAATGTTGGGGACGGAAGAATTAACATGGCTGCTACTCTTCAAAAGTATTCATTCCAAAAGTTTTGATCACATCCTTCTATGAAAGGAAATAATGTGTGATGTGATCACCTATTTGAAATAAAGTAACTCTGTCTTCTGCGACAGTGCAGCAAATGTTTAAAGAAAAAAAAGTTTTTTAGCAGGGCAGTATGCACGTTCGTGAATATATCCTACCTCGTAACTTTTTGGTCATAAAACTTAAATGTGTCTGGTAAAATGCAACAGTGAGATTGAGAAAACTTTTAATTACCAGGTAAGAGTACAAAAAAAAAAAAAAAAAAAAAAACCTGTAGTGAGATGTATAAAAGGTGTGAAGAACTAGTTTCATCAAAGTCAGAAGAAACTTATGAAATTTTTTAGTTTTTGCAAACATTATATTCCCTAGGGCTTAAGGATATGTACTTTCAAATTTGCAGACGTTTTTTCCTTATTGTAAGGTTCTTAATGATTCTTGTTCAGAGAAGAGTAAATGTTCTATTTATGTCGTATTAATACAGCCAGAAGAGCTGGATTTTCTCTTTCAGTTTTGTACTTTTTCTCCCGTTATTGTCCAGGAGAAAATGAAACAGTGAGACTATTAAATACTACTGTATAATCAGGAGTTTGACTAATCCACCAAAAATTTTTGTTTTCTGTTTCTTTTTCTTATACAGAGTCAATACAAATTTGTTTGTGAAGCTATTCTTCGTGTTTACAAAGAAGGATTGATTCGACCACTGGATTCTAGTTAGCACAGCAGTGAAGGATGCATTTTTTTCCCCTAAAAAGACTGCTTTTTTAACTAAAGCAGGGGCTTATTTCTCAAAGCAACTAGAATGGACTAGAAGCCCATGAGAAGACAGATGAGCACATTTGAACTGTGGCACTTTAAATTTCTCAAGAAGATTGCTAAATCATGTACAGTATAAAGAAATCATGTAGATAAATATGAGAGCAATTGTGTGTAAATGCTTTACTTAGGCACCATAAGCAATCATGGAAACCTCAATGCATATCTTTCACTGCCTTAAACATCTCTCACTTTGGAATTACAGAGATCTTTGTGTTTCTTTTGAAAATACGAAAGGAAAATTAATAGGACTGAAATGACTCAGTTTAAGAAGGTATTTAATATCTTTGTATGAAAGTTCATGGAAAGTGAATATTTGTACCTTTTTTACTGGGACATTAAATATTTGTAGGAATGTAACCTTGACTTCTCAATGGCTGATGAAGAGCTTCAAAGCCTAATGCATAACTACTGTACATTAAGAATAGGAGAAATTAAGTATTCACTTTCCATAAGTCTAATAGTATGCCAGCTGTTATAATACTGTATCACTGTATGTGATGTGCAAAACGATACTTCATTTATACATTTAAACAGATGGTACAGTCTACATCTTCTGTTGATCAGTTTTACTTCCATTTTGCCCTTTCAACAGTGACCTACTTCTTAGTGTTAGCTGTTGTATTTCTTTTCTTCTGTTTCTACTGTCCTCCAAGACGATTATTTTTCACTGCTATTTCTGTACATGGACTGAAAACATTCTAAGATGAGGTCTTGCTCTCTTTCACCTTTGTTTCCGTGTTTATTATGAGTTCTCAGATGTAAATGTGGATTAACATTGCACACAAGTACTAGATGTTTGACTTGCTGTATATGCAAAGTAGTCTAATCCAATACTGGAAGAAAAAATTACTACTGAACCCATCAAATATGTTGCTGCTAATTCAAGGTGTGAAGCTTACAAGGACACAGGTGTTGGTAGTGTTCAGATGGTGATAAAATGTTGACTTGCTGCCCTTCAGCAAATGTGTTTATCCAGTGAAACACAACTCTGTTGCAAGAGTTCTGTGGATTTATTGTGTTTCTTGCTTTATGGAAATGCAGCAAAATTCATGTGAAGATTGACATAGAAAGAGAGAATGAATTTGTACATTGTTACATGATTCACCCTTAAGGTACACTGGTTTCCATTTCATTTCAAATGGGAGAATTGGACTTTCTGAACAATATAACCACATTTGTATGGTGTTAATTTATTTTGTGTGTGCTTTATGATTACCCTGAGATATTTCTTCATTTTTGAATATTATCTAAAAGAAAAAAAAAAAAAAAGAAAAAAAAGTTATTCTAAGGGACTGTTTGAAACTGTTATTAAAAAAAAAATAGTCCTAAATAAGGAAAAACATTTAAGACATGTTAACCAAATGTTTATATGTATATAAAAAGAAAAAAAAGAAAAAATAGATGATTTTCTTTTTGAATATATATAATACACACATATACATCCAGATATATTTTAGAACTATGGTTTGTATTATGGATATTGTCATTTATTTTTGAAGTTTCATTATAGAAACTGACATAGCTATATAATATGCATCTCTCATGTAACCAGAAGCTTGGATTGGTTTGTTTTGTGTGTTTTTTTTTCCCCAGGAGATGACTGAAAAATGAATGTAGTATATGCTTAATTGCTAATCCTTGTCTCCTTTAGACTTATTCCTTTCTTCCAGGTTACATTACTGATTAGAAGTAGAGGAAAGAAGATTCCTAGCTACTTGGTTAAAATAGAGTTTTTTGTTTGGAACACACAAGGTCATCAGCAACACAAAAATCTTCATGGCTTTGTAGGTTGAAGGGTGAATAGATTTGTGTTCATTCTTACATATTGCATTCCTAATTTTATCATTGCTTAAAAGTTTTTATAGTATATGGGGTTTTTATCCTCTTGCTTGATTGGGCATAGATTGGAAACCAAAAGACGGTAAATCTGGTCAACTCTTTACTTACTAAACTGCATCAAGTCACTCAGTCTGATCTGTGACTTCAAATGTAAAATACTTATGGACACACATTTTGCTTGGGAAGCTTTTTCAAAAGGTACATGTGGAAAAGTGTTGTACAGGCTGTCAGCTGCTGTTTGATAGCATGTTGAGTGAGAATGCCTAGTGACATGTCTCCACTTGAGTAGTGGTCACTGAAGGATCTGCCTGCTATTTGACAGAAGCTCTCTTTTGCTGTTATGTGTGTGCCTTTCTGTTAAAATATCTTGCTTTGAAGTTATGCTGTGCCTAGATCTCATAGTCATTGCTTGCAGTTTGTGTGGCTTTGTCAAGAAGTGAAAAAGGCACAAAGGGAAAAAAAAAAAAAAAAAGCAAGAGAATAAATAGAAAGTATTTAGAGAATCTTTGTGACATTTGTTTCTTTAATAGCAGTCCTTGATTACCATTTGTGTTCAAGGTTAGTGACCAATTCCTACCACTATTTATGTTTCTTCATGTTGAAAATGTATTTACCAAAACATGGTAAATTTCTTCAGTATATAACTTATATAACTCCAGTCTCAAGATGCATGACTTGCATTAGTATGTGTGTTTTTACATGACCATTGTCATATTGTGACGAGTGCTGCTCTTGTTCTGATAAAGTTAGATGGCTTTAGTAATAGCATTCCTATGCTATTATTTGGATTTTAATAACTTGTGTGAAATTGCTGGCCACTGCTGCTCCTCTTAAAGCTATAAAAACAGTAATCTGTGTAATACTTGATTTTTTTTTTATTTTTTTTTTTTGTAAAACCATAGAGATAATATTAACTACACAGTTGTCCTGTACGTTGTGTCCATCTTTATTTCAGTGTTGCTGGGTTTTGCACATGTACCTGTTGGGTCTTTATGGGAGCATGAAGAGGTTTTTGTCTTCTGTCTGTACCGTGCTGATGACTTCACACTGAATGATATATGCCTTAGATTTGATCTGGCAACAAAAGCATAATTATGGAAACGTCATCTTACTGCTGGCTGTTGTTTCCACAAGCCTTAGGAAATTAAAAAGGAACAGAGTTGCTTGATTTTTCTTGTAAGAGTTAAAACTCCTAACACAAAATGTTTAACTGCCACACAATGGACAAATAGCAGAAAGTGCCCTGTAGTCAGGATTCTGTATAGCCCTCCTAAATGTTTTAACCTTATATTTCTCCTCTGCTTGTGTTAGCATAAAAATGGGCGTTCTAAGTTTCTAACATTGTGGAGGATGAAGAAGGAAAACCCTGGAGGTTTTCACCAATATGAAATGCAGTGACATTATTTCCTTGGAAGTAAGCAGATATTTACTACTGGTTTTATATTTGATACAGAAGTAATTAAGATGCCTAATTCAGAGCATCTTCCAAAAATATTACAAGAGAATACTTCTGAGACAGAAGTGGGAGAGTCTTACTTTGTATTGAAAATGAGAAAAATGGTGCCATAAACCACGAATGCCTTTTGTGTATTGGGATAAAGGAAACATGAGTCATTAAAATACAACCAAACTTTACATGGCTGTGGGGTTCTGCACAAAAAAAAAAAAAAAAAAAAAAAAAAAAAAAAAAAAAAAAACCTATTACAATCCAGGGTTTTGCTCTCTGTAACCTTGTCTTTAGGCATTGGTACTAAGTTATAAGCACTCACAGTATACCCAGAAGATCAGCAATATCTTTTAATACAACTTCTTTTCAACAGTTGGTTTTCTTTTTTCCCTTCCTTTTCTACTATGCAATACTTGGTTAAATAAAAAATGTAAAGCACTGTAGCTCTAAAATGTGTATGGAACCATGCATTTACTTTATTACAAGCATAATACTGTTTTACAATACAATTTCTTCCTTCCAGATACTGCTCTTTTGTTTCAGACTCAATGTGTAAATGATCTACTGATTGAAAATGTGGAAAATAGGCATATGCGGTTCGTTTTTTGGTAATTAACATTTTAAATGCAGTTATTTCACTGATAACAGCTTTATTGTCGCATCTTTAAATGTAGCATTTAAGAGCAAATTTATTTTATTCAGTCACATGAACCCTTTCCAGAGCTTGCACTGGGAAGTATTTGTGTTTCAGTTGGTAAGGTGCAATTAGTCTACTTGGTTAAAAGCATTTATGAATTGAAACTGTATAGAAGGTAAAGCTGTGTCATGAAACACTTTGTTCAAAGGCAGTTGAAAGCCAAGTGAATGATTAATTTATTATATAAAACATAATGTTTTGATTAAATGGATTTTCTTGCATTTAATTTCTGACACTGATAGTGTTGAGCCATCTCAGATGACTGTCTATTTTAACAATAGCATTATATTAACAGTTTAAATATAGCAATTTAATGCAATGTGGTTTAGTTTTAGTGTGCTTTAACGTACTTTGTTTCCATTGTTCAGTAGCTGTACAAGCTTCAAACAATAGTATCCACAGTCACCGCAACTTGTCTTAAGGCAAAAAGAAATTTCTCCCACTACAAAGAAATAACGAGCAGGTGGTTTTGATAGATTTATCCATTTTCCAACTTACCTCCTTCACAGTCTAGCTCTGATTGATAAAGGGCAGCAATTGAGGGCCAAGAATATAATGGAAAAAGCACAATTGTGACCACTGATGCTACAGTTAAGATACCTTTAGCTGTTGACTTCAAAATAAATAAAGAAATAAACATCGTCACATTCATCTTGAGATGTGACTCTGGGAATTGGGAGCAGGATGGGCTTTTTTACACCTTTTGTTGCAAACTACTTGGATAAGAGTCTGTGTGCTCTTTTGAGCTTAGCTGCAGTTTATGAGTCTTCAGTGAATTTTTTGAAATATTCAAACATTTATTTTCATGAAACACTTCAGTTTAGTGTTAGTTGCTCAGTTTCTTTTTTCTTCGCTTTCATGACGTGATTTCATGATTTGTCATTGTACCTTATCAGATACTTTCAGGTTTCCCACAGCTGTAAAGCAGGCTCTGTCATAGACAGCCCCAAGGACGTCGCTGTTGCTGATGAAGCAACATTACCTGTGCCTGCTGAAGGTGCTGTGTGGCACTGGGACCTGCCTGAGCTCAGCTCCTCCCTGAGGAATTTGAACAGTGCTGTGTAACACTGATGGAAATGGTAAACGTAGTTTGAAAGACCATGTAGGAAATGTTTTCTTCTACATTGGTAATGTTTTTATTAAAAAAAAAAAAAAAAAGTTTGTAAGGAAGAAAATGTTTTAATGGGTAAGGTAAGAGTGGAAAATGTTGGGTTTTGTTTTCCCCCCATGTGAAGTGCTTTTCTATGTTCTCTTGGAACTGTTGCTTCAGTAAAAAAAAAAAAAAAAAGGTACCCTGCATTTGGTGGGATTTCATTTTTTGTCATACTGACCCAGAGAAGAATTATAAGATGAATTTATTCCTTCCTTACTGCTCTGTGATTTTAAATAACATTAAAGGAAGCTGAAATCTTTTTCTTCCAAAAATAATTTTGGCTGCTTTCATTTAGTGTTTTTTCTGTCATGTACATGGAGCTCAAATGGAGGAGGGTCACTAGTGAGGTTGCCACATGTGCTAACAGAAATAAGCTTTGCTAGATCAGTTAGAGCCATTGCCTATCATCAGTTACCAACTGAAATCAGTCTGTCATCATCTTCCTATCAGCTTTCTACTGAATTATTGTTTCCTAATAGGAAGTCTTTTGTAGCTTGCTCTTCAAGCATCAGGGCGCCCTCCTGTTTTTGTTTTTGTTTTTTTTTTCCAGAAAAAAGATAAGCCTATTTACTAAAATCCATACAAAACAAACATACTTGAAAAAAAACAAAATGATTGAAGGGAGCTTCCTATTTCCTGTGAGTTCATTTTAGGTAGGCATAAACCAAACTAGTTCTCAACTAGCAAGCAATGTTGCCACTAAAGCATAGAAAAATCAGCACTAACCCAACTACCTGATTAATTTTTCAACTTCCTATAGAGGGTTGGTTGCTATCCTGGTTCCTAAATCTTTGTTGTGGGATGGAAGGAGGAAGGACTTCTTTCCTCCTTTCTCGAGGCGTATGACAAAATCTCCGCTCAGTATATCAGCAACCTGTGTTGACCTTTGTGGTGTTGTGCTGCATTATCTTACCTGAGTGGTCCTGTTATTGCATGTGATCTTACTGTCAACTGTGCAGTTATCAGTCAACTCTTTTCTCCCTCTGAGGTGGAGAGAAAGAAAAAATGTCAACCCGGTGGTGTTAGTTCTTTGTGGGTTTCATTTACCTTAATTAGGTGGTAATGTAGTGTGGTAGGTTGAGTTATTCTTCATCAGTGCCCTTTTAATTCAGAACTTAGCATACATGCAAGAAAATCTGGCATAACTGGTGCTCCCCTAATTTTTAATAGAAATTAAGTTACTGTATGTAGAAATTAGGTGGGGAATTGGTACATGTGCTCAAATATATTTTAAATCTGGATTTTGAGAACTAAATGATAAGTATCAATGCTTATATTCCAGAACCCTTTGCAGTGAGTTCTAAACATAATTTATGGAGGTTTTCACACTTCAATCTGTGACCTTAATAGAGAGGTACTAGATAAATTAAGAGAACAGTCCTATCAAGGCTAGAAATCATTGGGCATTCGTAATAACAAATGAGGTACTGTTTAAAGGTGATCTTCATTGCAACTGAGAGGGAAAAACACTTAATAGTACTGGAGTAAATTGCATAACATTTGAGAAAACCAAAGCAGTTTCTTGGAAGTTTTGGAAGCTTCCAAGCTTTTCTTTGGAAAAGATCTCACTGTTATCATTGCAAAGTTTGTCTTTCTGTGTATGTTCAGTTATTGTTTTTGTCAGAGATGTAGAAAAACCTTGGGAGATAATATCCATTCAGTGATATGTCTGTTTTATGTATCTTTTTGTTTGGTTATGGTTTTATACTACTCTTTAGTTTTTCTTGAGACCTTAGGTGCCAGTGCATTGAAGGAGTAAGAGAATGTATTTGATATATTGGAGGGTAAGGCAAGAGTTTATTTTGTGTCCCAAGTTGTGCTTTTATTTTAAATCATTTGGAATGTAAATTTATGTTGACATTACAAAGGTTAATTTATTGTTAAAGATATAGACACCTGCTGAGATGAATGTATCATTCTTTTATTATTATTATTATTATTATTATTATTTCTAGAAGAATAAAGTATTGATTAATGATTTAAGTAGTTTCTTTGGGATTTGGAACTGTTTTGGACAAGGACATTACAGCCATTTCATGCTCCTTGGTTAAATAAAGCATTGTGATGGTGAAGTAAAGCATTTTTGGCTGTGTGGTTTTACTGTGACTTTATTCAAGGAATCATTAAGAGTTGCATGAAAAGGTTTGTGACCTGTCTAATTCCTTTAAAAAAAAAAAAAAATCACACATGGCTGCAGCTTGAATTTTATCTCAGCAAGCAAGCCTCTATGGGAATTGTCTGCTCTGTATAGATAGTGTGTAATTTTTCATAAAGAGCTTGCTGGGGAAGTAATGCAACCAAGTAAGCCTAACACTCAGAGGGATGTTCTGCTTTCAACACTTCTAATAAAGGAGAATTGCCTTGACTAATTAGACCACTGGAGCTTAGTACTCATGATATGTAAGGCCACATACACAACTGTTTGTACGCTTTATATGCAGAAGCAAAAAATGAAATGGGCAGGCTGCCTTTCCCTTTGGGATTTCCAGTCCCTTGCCTACTCCCAGGGCTGTGTGAGTTGCTGTATGTTTTGCACCTGCTGGTGCTCCAGAATTATCATCATGTTTTCACAGCAAAGCAGAGCCCAGTGGTATTGTTCTTGAATTATTTCCTTATGTGTGTGCTAAAAACAAAAGTTTTTAGAGTTCAAACTGGAAAATGCACTGAAAATTGAAACCGACACTGGCAGATGGATGGAGCACTAAAATTTGTTTGGGCTTTGGTTAAGAACTGGGATAGCTGTTAGCAAGCACTTCTTGCAATTGACAAGAGATGTCTCTGCCTACCAATTAGTCTTTTTATGCTTGAGGCCAATATTCCTTCAGAATGATTCTGATAAAGCTATGAATTTGATGAAATCTTAGTGAAAGAAAGAGCAAGGCCAAAAGCACCCATCTGGGCACTGAGGACATAGGACATTGACGCAGGCTCGAATCTCTCATAAATGCAGAACAAGCTGTAACAAGATAGTGGTTTTGCTGAAGATCCATATGAAACAGCTTACAGACAGATGTAGCAATGTCTTCACAACTTTTAGCAGAGTAGGATGGGGAGGAGTCTTTCGGAGGATGTTTAAGACAAAGGAGAGTCTTCACATTTTCTGTGTGATTCCAGAGCTGGAACCGAGGGAAAGAAAGAATTGACAAGTTAGTTCTGAACACAGCCTAGATGCTACACACAAAGCCTGCAGGACCAGAGCATGAGCCGAGCTGGATGATAATTTGCAGGGAACTCCTCCTTTCAGTTTCTCTCAGATGTTTACTCAGAGGAAAACAAGGAACTGAGTTGTAGTCCCTATGACAGGGGTGCAGGTCTGAGCTCCCTTTAGGGTGGAAAGGTTTCTTCCCTCCTGTAATGCCAGCTGTTGTTTTGCAGCCTGGCACAAGCCATGTTTTTTTTCTATTACTCAGCCTAACTGAGGCATCAATGAGTACTCAAACATGGTCAAAACCATGGGAAAACCATTCCTGAGCTGTGTAACCAAGAAACTTGCCTTAGCAACTCCTATTGCAGAGAAATCTTCATGACTTCGGTTGTGTTGCTTCCACATGCTGACTTGTTCTCTATTAAGTGGGTAGGAAGTGGATGTGTAAATGTGTGTGTGTGTGTGCATATATATGTATAAAAATAATAGCATGTATCTCTGAGTATGTGAGTAGGGAGAAAAGTAAATCCGGATAAAGCAGAGCAGACATACATTCACTTCAACTTTTCAAACACAGAATACAGAAGAGGTCTGTAGTAAAGGTAGCAATAGAAGTAATATAAATAATGTATGATGAGTGCTTTCTTCATCCATGCCACTGTAATGTTTGTACTAAGGTAAAAATGTTATCCAAGGTATTGGAAAAAATCCACGTATCACCTGATTTTGTTATTTATATGCATAGTGTTTGCTTTTGCAGATTCCTGTAATATATGCAGATATTTGTTTATCCAATTAACACTGAGTATTACTTCCTTGATGTCTGTGATGTTTGGGTTTTGTGTTTTTTTTTCCTATTGCAACATAGTTGTTTAGATTGAGGTCTTTGCTAAGGCTTATCAATTAAACAAGAGAATTTCCTGGAATTTGAAGGAGTTTAGATGGCAAAGAACAGGGAAAACAACATGCATTTTGTAGCCATCATTGCATTCTGCATATATTTAAACAGACTTATCTGTTTAAATCACATTGTATCACATCTTGTTTCCTTAAACAAGTTATTGCTCAAGTATATCTGATACAGCTAGGATGTTGCATGCAGTGCAAATAGCTACTAAATGCAATCCCATTTCCAAAGGATTTTCAAGCAGGCTCAGAGCAGAAACAAAACATTGTGTTCACCACAGTCAATCAGACAATGGGATATTGTGAAGCAGGTATACGATATGCTTCCCTTGATCATGCTAAGTAAGAAAACAAGTGAAGCTTTCCTCCTTCATCAGAAGCAATCCCCAAAACTGTTAGGAGATATGAGCAGAAGCTGAACCACGTGAACTGGGAGGGTTTCTGAAGTGCCCAAGCACCAACAGTGGGAACAGTATTGTTTGGAGCCTGGCTTATCCAAGTACAGCAAGAAAGAAGTCATAGAAACTGGAAGCAAGGCGTTGGCACTGTGCCTTGAGAGGAATCCCACGTAGTGCAGAGTGCTTTATGGAAAGACATTTGAAACCCTGTGTAAAAATTTGCTCCTGCTGTGTTCTTGCTTCATGGAAATAGGGCACTGGTGGAACTGTGCCAATTATTTGTTTGTACCAAAAAGAAATATTTTTCCAATACGTCATTTTCATTTTCCTTTTTCACTGTATGTTTATCCTCTTCCCCAAAAGCTAATAGCTGAAATTTTACAGAAGAGAACACGTTCTTATATAACCTCCCAGTGAATATAGTACTGTGAATATCTTGTTGCCAAGAAAAGTTTGATTTACCATAGTGTGAGATGTACTTATTTAAATCCATTCTCAAGCGGGTAAGGTGAGGTACAGAGAAGTTATTCCTAGCAGAGGTGGCAGGTAGGGGATTTGAACTTTAAAGGTAAGTTCTGGTTCTCTGTGTGTGACAGATGAGGCCAGGGCCGATGCCTGCTTCCAGATGTGCTTATGCTTGTTCTACTTGTGGAAAAATGTTTCATGGGGTTCTGTGCTGGAGAAGGTTCATAATAAAGCTAACTGCATTACTGCTTACAGCTGGTGGTGAGTGAGTAGGTTTGGGGGACTGCATGAGGACAAAGCAATTCACAAAACAGTGAAATTCATTCTTCCACAATGAATGCTTTTTAAGCATGGCTCACTCAGCATCCTCCCAACACTAGCAATGGCCATCCCTTCCTTATCCTGGTTGTTCTCTTCTGTCTCTTGCAACACATGTGCCTCCCCTGCACACGCAGCATGCAGTGCTAAATTCTGGTCCTGGCGAGTGGGCAGAAGTGGGTGAGTCGCTGTTGTGCTGGAACAGATGGCGTCTGCAGAGCAGCCATCAGCCCTGTGTGTTGTAGGTGGTTGCTAAAGGAAAAAGGAATAATTCAGAGCTTTGGTTGAAAAGGTTGGCTGGTTTTCTCTTATGTATTGGGAGTGGAGCAATTGGAAATCTGAGACCAGTTTGGGTTTTACAGTGACTGATGGTTGTCCAT